AAAATGTTAAAAAATTTTAAAAGCAAAAAAAAATATTATATATATTAATTAACTTTTATTTATTTCAATTTAATTGTATTTATTGTAATTATCGTTGGTTTTATTTTATTTTTGTTCGTTGTGTATTTATTTTATATTTAAAAATGCTAAAAAAAATGTTAAAAAATTTTAAAAGCAAAAAAAAATATTATATATATTAATTAACTTTTATTTATTTCAATTTAATTGTATTTATTGTAATTATCGTTGGTTTTATTTTATTTTTGTTCGTTGTGTATTTATTTTATATTTAAAAATGCTAAAAAAATGTTAAAAAAATTCTATATGTAAGGAGAAACAATGTATTTTATCAATCTTTTAATGTATATCATTTTAATTTTATATTTATTTACTTATTTATTTGTTCAACATTTTAATATATTCGAAAAAATTGTAAAGTTCAAAAATAAAATAAACTGAATAAAGTTATGAAATAAAACAAATTGTTTGTGTGAACATTATTTGTTTTTGTTTAATGTTAAGGACATCTGCTGTATTTGATTTATTATTCTAATAATTAGAATAATAAATCAAGTACTGTAGAAACACAGATTTAAAAAAAAAATAAATCAACGGAAATTTCTAGTTTGCATTAAAACTTAAATATGATTTGTAACAACACATTAAAACATTTTAGATTTTTTCAATGATTTTCATAAAATCACAATGTTATGAAATCAGAAACTATAGAAAATTGAACAGAAAAAAGTAGTTCCCACTCATTATCCGTGTTCATAAAGTATTATAACGTAAAATTAATTGAAATAAATTTATACAAATAAAATTTACCCAACATTAAATTATATTCATTTAAAATTCGTTTAAAGTGTTCAACTATAGTTTCATATTGTCATCACCTCTTTTAATATTTTAATATATACTATTTATTTTGAGTTTAACTTAACGTTATCAATTACAAAAGTTATTTTTCTTGAACGATAAATTTAAAATTAAGTAAATTATCACATCTTTTAATTAAATAACAAGGTTATAAATCCATTTTATAATAACTAATTTCGTTTGTAAATAAATTTAGAATAAAAATATCAAATCGAATAAATATTTGAGTTAAGAATTCAGTTTAATCGAAAGATAAAATGAATTATCATTGTAAACAACTATTTTGATATAAATCGCAAACTCAACAATTCACAATAAATTGGATGAATGATATGATATGATTAATAAATAAGCCAACTATACATACATATGCACGGATAAGACGGAGAACAAAAATGACAGCAGTGTTATAAAATAATTATAGAAGTATAAACAAGGTTTTAGTAAGTATTGGAGATTGACAATTAGCCTAACTGTAGAAAAACTATTTGACAATTTTGCAAAATATAAAGTAAAATGTGAAAACTTAGTATCAAGCAGGCAGGACGGTTCAAACTATATATTACGATCTTTACCCTTTATCCATAACAACTTTTCCGCGATATCTTTTCCGAGAGATATAATCCGTTACGAAAAAATAAGAATTACAGTATATTGTTTTATGCAAAATACTTACAGATAATGCTTATTATCAAAATTATAATGCCATCTGCTCAAGAGTATGAGAATAACCTTATTAGTACAGTCGTCCTAATTTTTTCACCGATTTGCTTACATAGAGAAAATTTCTTGAAAAAATTTGTAATTTTTTCAAGGACATTTTACAACAAATAACTGAATGCTCTATACGAAAATATACCACCAGTATAGTGGAGCTCATTGCCGTGGAATATAATTGATCTCGAAGAAATGGATTAACAGAATTCGTAATTAGGTTCAGTCATATAACACTAGTGTAACCGTGGTCTAAGAGTTGGGTATTACAGTAGAGCGTCGTTTATCCGAAAGTCGGTTATCCGAAAGAATTCCAGTCGGTAAATTTAAATTTTCGCTAGTGCTGTAGCGCTGCAATCTTTGGCTATATCTTGGGCTACTCCAATATTTTTTTTCGTTGATATTTGTTTTAGCTGGCAGCACTGGCACTTTTGTGTGTTGTTTTTCTGAGGACTGTGTCATGCTGAATCGAACGTTTTTGATACTAGATTAACTTCTAAAGTATAATTTTTTTTGTTTTTATATTTTTCAATATATTTATTTTGTTTGTACAAAATAAAGAAATAATTTTTAA